CATTGGAGGACATGCCAGTGCAGTGTAGCTTTGAACAGTACCACCATTCTTGCAAGAAACAACAATCCTCATGCACGCGAAATGCTCGAGGCGCTCGCCATCAAGGAGCACGCCAAGGATTGTGTCAGCACGCCATCAATCACCATACACAAAAAAGAAAGACAATACCTACGGAATGTCACGCCCCAAACAACAACAGCACGAGCATGTGGCGGGTTAGTTCAAAAACAATAATTTGCTAGGAATACTGTGTAAATGATTTGTATTTTTTTTGTATAAGTGTAAATATCGGAAGTGATCTTTAACAGTGGAATAGGGCAATTTATAAAATAGGTTTATCGCGCTCCACTTGGGACTCAAAAGGAAGGAGCAAAAGCGCAAGGAAGAAGTTTACACTAAAATATCGTTGGTAGTCAGCTGTGTGTCATATCCTGTCCTTTCGGTCTTTGTGTTCTAGTTATTTCTAAAGTTCACGCTGATATATTTACTCACAATGCGCTGACTCTGATCTCTGTAATGTATTACACTCAATGTTCATCTTTTTTTTCTTTTTTTTGCTAATAGACACATGGAAGTAAAAAAAAAAGGAAGAAAAGAAAAAGAAAAGGAAGCTCTCAACGCAGTGGTATAACCTTATGATGTACCGCAGGGAAGGCTACGAGCGCGAGCTCCTTGCTCTAGTACGCATCTCGGCGGCACAAGCTCTCGTGCATTAAGGGTAGCTGCCAACGCTATGAGCTCGCGCTTCTAGCCTTCGCTGCGGTACAACACAAGGTGAAACAAAGTATAGCAGACAACGCGCGAGACAGTCAAGCAACATCCGAACACAGCGCCGCTATACTTCGTTTCAGCTTCGGTCCAGACGCAGCCAAGGCTACAAGTGCGAGCTCCGGGCTTTCAGCATCCCTGCCAAGCACGCGCGCTCCTGCAGTGCAAGCACTGTTCTGGGCCACATGCTCGCGCTTGTAGCATCGGCTGCGTCTGGACCGAAGCTGAAACGAAGTATAGTTCTCGTGACCGCCACCTCGGCCACTCGCCTCTGCAGGCGAGAATAGGGAGCTGCGAAAGTGAGCTTGCTGCAGTAACGTTGGCCTGACCGACCGAATAATGGAGCACAAAAGAGCGGTTAAATATTCTTCTGCCAATTCAGAAATCGTAATACACCTGAGTGAATGTGGAAAGTGTTACCCAGATTGGAAGCAGACGACAGTGCTTGGCAAAGAAAAAGATCAGTTTAAAAGGGTGATTAAGGAGACGATGAGGATTATGAGCGCCAGAAATTGCATAAGCATGCCGTCTTTGACTTTGGACGAGGACACTAAATCGTTTTTATCTGTTTAATTTCAAGTAGGTTGTGACTCGAGTAATTTCTGAATGGTTTTGTCCTGTGAGCAGTTGACATTTGAAAAATGCCTTTAGCCCTGTGTTCAATACTCGTGGTTTTCTCGGTGGTTTCTGTGCGCTGCCGTTAGGAGATGTATTAATTGGACTAGAATACGGCAAGAAAGAAAAAGGAAAAGACGTCAAGAAAGAAGACTCAGTGCGTATGCTCGAGGCTCTCTTAGCGTAGAAACTGTCCTTGCCGTTTAATGTGTACAATTTGGATGGAGAATGACAAAGAAGAAGAATATTGTGGAAGTAATACCCGTACCACACGGGCACCTCGATTGCCATTTACAACGAATGACATTCGCCCCAAATGTCATTCGACTGGTGCTACACGGTCTGCAAGAATGGCATTCGCTGAAAATGTCATTTGCCACCGAAGGGGTTCGGCGGAACTCATTCGCATTCAGTCACGGGCCAAATGTGTAGCCTCTACCCCAGGCCCCAAGTAGAAAAACGCCAATGGGATTACGTTAATCAAGGTATGCCCGAACTAAAAGTTATTTATTTGTCTTTGTTTTTATGTATGCATTCTTTTATACTAGATTTGAAGCGCGGCTTGACACATGTAACTGCAAGCAGCTACTCTTTGACCCAGTAGACACAGCCACTTCGCCTGCGTCGCCATCTTTTTCGCGTTTCTTCTCGGTTTTATTACGTTTTGTTCGAACTTCCAAGTTTCTTCCGATGGAGCCGCAAGCGCCGCAAGCAGCCGCGATCGGTGCACTGGGCGGTGCGCAGCGAAAGCAGCAGCCAGAGCCACGGAGTTCGAGAGCAGCTGCTCTTCGATTTCACGAACGCGAAAGTAAGCCTCCTCAGCTTCGGCTTCGAGCCTTTGCTGCTCGGCACTGTGCTTGGCGCGTAAATAAATGAGGACGCTCATTAACCGTCGCACCCGTTTACCGTCCTTCGGCGCAAGGACTGACACTCACGATTGTATAGGCGCCATTTGCTTTCGCTTTGGTCAGCTTCTGTCGTTGGCTTTGGCTTATTGCGGCTAGAGCAACTAGAGCGTCACCAAGAAGTGAATTACAACGGAAATTAAAAAAAAAAAAAGCCAATGTAATTTACAGATTTGTTTAAAATCACCTATACACACTTTTTAGAGATCCTAACCTTGAACAAACGTATTTAGCTTACAAAAAACTTTACAGTTAGTTTCCTTCAGAGAGCAGGCGCTATCATCATCATGGCGCGAAAAGACATTCGAAATGTACGTGTAGCACGGGTTTGAAATGTAATGTCATTGGGCGCCCGAATGAGATTCGCCCTGAATGGCATTTGCCATGTCCGTGTGGCACGGGTATAAATGACAGCTGCATGCTGTGCTGGTTTTGAGACGGCGGTGTGTATATCCCCTTTTTGTTTCCTTGTCTCAAGGTTTTAATTCTTAATTATGATTCTTCACCAGCTCGCCTGCGCTTTAATTATTATCTCGTCCTTTAGTTAAGCAAACGTCATGTGCGTTCAAAAACATAGAAAAAGAATGTGCGATTAAACGTTAGAGTTGTAATCAAGTGTCAAACGACCTTTGTAGAAAGGCACATTAAACAAAATAAGGGTATTCGAATGGAGTCAGACGGTATTTTGACACCCACCATGAAAGGTACCACCAAATCCTGGCTAACCTCTACGAACCTCCTCTCTCAATAAGAGAGGAAGGGCTCGCGAGAGAGTGGAGGGGTGTCACATGACAACCCTAGGTATCCCCCGTCACGACGGCCGCGACGGCCGTTCTTCATTGGCCACTGGCTGCCCTCCGGCACTTGCCGACAAGTATCGACAGCACGCCACCAGGCGGCGTGAGACCCCGACCCAAAAGCGAAGAACTGTGCGCTCCGCAGCGTTTGCCAAAGACGCCGTTTTCGGGGTGATGTTCCCTGTTCCTGATCAGCAATCTCGCCGCGAAAGGGGGGTGGCTTTTGTTTGTTTCCCGTCTTCACTCGCATGCACTATCGCGGGCCGAACGTGTTTTTCGGTCAGCACGTCAACTTTCGAAGTCTTAGGGCCTGGCGTCTCTTTTAGCTACTTCAAGAAAGAAAAAATACAAAACGAAAGCGCATTTAATTTTATTATTACTATTTTTTTTTTTTTTTTTTTTTTTTACAAAGGGCAGAGGTTAGACGGGATTGTAAATAGCAAACACTACTTCGGAAGACCGACAAGCAAAACTTTAAGAAAGCAATTCTCCGTTCCCCTCTTTTTTGTGCAAAAAAGATGCGTGTTCGTTTGGTTCGTACCACATTCGGTAAGGCGTTTTTCGTTTTTGTTTCTTTTATCCACAACATGGCAGGTAATATTAGAACAATTAGAGAAAAACGAGCAACGTTCACCCCCTCAATTAGCAGCGCGGACAAGTAGTTACGTGATCTGGGGCCGATTCTATGCTGTCAATATTTGTCCTAGCCACGCACAGGGGTTGACAAGACACGGGCTACGTGCTGAGTTCCACAGGTTGTTAGGGTTCGGCTATTCCCGTTACCGTCGTGCTTGTCTACGAGCCCTTACCCGAACGCTTGTGAAAGACTTTATTGTCATGAGCCCAAATCGAATGCTCAGGCACCGCTCGTGTCCATCCAAAGTATGTTTATTCAATCCATTCATCCTATTGCACTTTTCATTAATGTAAAAATTAGTGCTTTCTATTTTTTATCAGGTTGCGTGGTTTTTGTTTGCTTCTTTGTTTCGCTAAAACTATTTTTGTCATAGGGATCGCGTATAAACATGAGTGCTTTGTATTTTAATATCTATAGTTATTGTGTTATTTTTTGCACATTTCTTTGATCGAAAGTACATTTTTTGCTAAATTTTTGTCTATTTTTTTGCCACCGTCTGCGCGTCACTGCCGAAAGAACGGGGGAGGGGCCTCGTCAAGTCAACTATTGTTTACTTTTGCCCCCCCCCCCCCCCCTTGCTCTGTACTTTCCGTGCAGTCGAAATAAAATATTAATTAAAAGTATACCAGAAAGTATCCCGATGAAGAAAATAAAAAAAGGGAGTCATCCTCCCCTTCAATTAGGGGCCTATGGTTCAGCAGGGCGCGCCAAGTCGAGCTTTGCTTGTGGGCGAGCTCAAAAACATCGCCAGCGTGGTTTCGCGGGTCCACCTGTCTTCCTTTGCTGCCTGACCTCGGAATGCGTACGAACAGCACGAAGAAAAACCTTCTGTACCAGAATAGCTAAAGTTTGGTTTGGGTTTGGTGGAAACAAGCGTGTTCTAATTAACAGACACACTTTTTCAGTGATCAAATCACGGGACGCGGGAATTTTGCATGCCCGAAAATAAACATTCATCGTTGCTAATGAAAGGGTGTGATTACCTGCGAACGTCGTCCGTTTTTTTTTTTTTTTGTTTTTTTTCGTTCTATTTTAAGTATTGAATTCGGATTGTAGACTTAACTGGATTTCGGTTTGAGAAACAAGGTTAGCAAGCGCAAGTCCCGAAAGATCGCGCGTAATCGCTAAGAAACCGCCACATGACCTCGGTGTGTCTGAACGAGGTCGCTTCGAAAAGGCAGCTCAACCGGCAGTGTGAATGCGCCATTACTCTAGTTGAGCGATGACGCAAGGTGCGTGCCGCCGAGTGCTCGCGTGAACCCAGGCGCGTTCACGCAGGCCTCACCAGGTGCGGCTTCCGGACGTGAGCGTGGTCCAAGGCAACAACTCCTGGAGCTTCCGTGTTCGGGTGCTGGTGTCCGTAACCAGCTCGGAGGACCCCGAGAGTGCGCTGCTGAACAACCAAGACCTCCAGGCCGTATTCGGGACGATAACCAACGGCCTGGGACACGTCAGGCTCAATTCCTCCGCTGCTCATAGTTTCTGGGTGAGTCTGAACCACCCCGTAATGGGTGAATGTTCTATCGCTCTCCTTAGTGCTCAGAGAAAAAAGATCGAGGTACACCTAAGCATTCCTTCTGAGTTGTAAATGCGAAAGCACGCAAGCCGCTCGTCCGCTCCCTTTTTCGTCTGCTGCATACTTTTCGTCGCCGGTCGGCGCGTGTGCTCCCCTGGTGACCTTGGATGCTCCGCGCTGATGGACACGCAGCGCCATGGGGTGAGCGGTCGTGGAAACTGACGAGCGAAGCGGCCACTGAGTGCCCCCTCGACGCGCGCCAACCAATGGAACCGAAGGAAACTATCTGCCGTTTTCGTGCTTCAGACTGATGACGTCAGCTCACTCCATGAGACAGTTAATGCTTTCGCATTAAAATAAACACCCCGGGAGAGCATTTACAGGATGTGTTTTCTAGGCTTTACACTTTATATTTTATAAACAAAGCCTAGCAAATTACACTAATGGGTTCTGTGCAGCTGAGTTATGCCGTAAGGGGGCTTAAATGGCCCCTGAAAAGAAAAAAAAAAAGTTTTTTTTAACAGCCTGGTTGGAACACTCATGTAAAAAAAATAATTTTATGCAAAAAAAATTAGACCAATATTGACGGCGTGAGACGCGATTTAGTTGGCAGTCACCTTCTCTAAAACGATAAAAAAAATATTATTTACAATAAGTTAATCGGTCATATCAATGACAAGAACTTTTTCCGCTCAAGGCAACAAGGGTTTACGATGGGAATTTTCTGTGGCACACAATTAGTAGAATTTACCTAAGACCTTGCTGCTTCAATAAGATGTGGTAGTCAAGTTGACTGTATTCTTTTTTTGTACTTCCGCAAGTCATTTGATTCTGTATCACATACTCCGTTGCTGCAAAAGTTAAGCACACTTCATATTCATATATACCTCTTTTATGGCTTGAAGCCTGTCTCCTTGAAAAAAATGCCAAATGTTGTCTTAGATGGTGCAACTTCCTCAGATGTTACATTGCTATCTGGTGCTCTGCAATAATTTGTTCTGGGCCCCCTTCTCTTTTAATATGTGCAAATTATCTAGCTCTAAATCTTTCTAGTCATGTGCAATTATATGCCGACGACTGTTGTGTTTATCGCGATATCTGATGTGAGGCGGATTATGAAGTTTTGCAAAATGACCTTGACTTTATCTTATCTTAATGTCAAAAGTGGAAGACGTCTCTCAAATTCTAATTAGTGCAATTCAGTCAGATTTACCAACAAAAAAAGACCAATGACTACGGATTATTTTCTTGATAGCACAATTCTAACTGTTGTATCACATTGTATCACCATATAAGTATTTAGGCATTTGGTTTTCCAGCGAATTATCTTGGAGCGCTCATGTACGAGCGTTCCAACTTGTCTACTAAGGCTAGCCGCACGTTAAACTTTCTAAAACGTAATTTTAGGCAGGCGCCTGTACAGCTTAGAGAAACGTTATCTTTGATGAACGTGCGTCCGATTTAGAATACACTTGAACCGCGTAGGATTTTCATACGAAGTGTAGTTGAGCTTGAACGCATACATGAAACGAGCAGCGCGGTTTGTCTCAGGCAGCTATAATTCCTCTAAACGTTCTTCTGCCATATGCGCTCAGTAAGGGTGGCCCTTGCTTACGCACCGACGAAAGTATCTCAGAATGACCTTGTTTTATACCACATTTGATGACAAAAAAGTAATCGAAAAAACACAATACACCAAAAGAGCAACCTATGTCCCCATGCCCGTACATACCGCAATATTAAAGTTCGTGAATACATATCCAGATTAAACCTCTTTAAGTACATTTTGTTTCCTCCTTTCTTGTTTTCTTTTTACAGCACTACAAAACCTACTGTTCAACAAGTTATTGCATTGCTAGATTGAATTCTTTTAATATTTTGGTGCTCATATCTGTCCGTTTTTTTTTTTCTTATTGCAATGTTGCAGTGATGTCATTTTCATTTCAAATCCTACGCATCCTCGAATATTTTTTTCTGTTATTTGTGCTTTGTATTTTCTTTTTGAAGGTTTTTATTTCCTACCCCGTAGATTAATGCCCTAGTAAGGTATTTGAATAAACAGATATTGAATAAATAAATACAAAGGGTACAGTCAATTCCATCAATCCATCATTTCATTTCATTTAATGAACCTTAAGGGCCCGTGAGGGCATTACATAAAGGGGGGGGGGGGGGAGATCATTCATATTATACATTAGAAAAAACAGACACAAAAACAAATACATGCAGGAAAAGGTCGGTAAATGGTTAACAACATAAAAAGTGCAATTGAAGATTTGATTCCAAGGCGTCTGGGTCTACGATGGTGACGATGGAGGATGGAAGGCTGTTCCAGTCATTGATGGCTTGTGGGAGGAAAGATCGGTTGAAAGCGTATGTTGAGCCAAATTTTTTTGATGGTACAGACATTGTTTAAGCGAGATGATGTTCGGTCGCGAGGTTTAATAATGCTGTTGTAAGGTCCAGACAGTCATAATATATTTTGTGAAGAAGGCAGAGCTGAGAGACGTTCCTAAGAAGCTGCAAAGAAGAAAGGGTTAGTTGACTTTTTAGGGCAAAGACACTGATGGAGTTATCGCACGTGGAGAGGATGAAACGAGTGGCCCTGTTTCGAGTTGCTTCCAGATGATTGATAAGGTAGCCTTGATGGGGGTTCCAGATGGAGGCAGCATATTCTAATTTAGGTCGGATAAATGTGTCGCAGGCCAGTTTGCGGACAGTTGGGGAAGCAGGTCGAAAGTTACGTCGGAGTACTTCCAGGGTCCTGGAGGTGTCTGCAAAGATAGCTTCAATGTGATTATTCCATGAAAGATCTGATAATTTTACACCAAGAATTTTGTACGAAGGAACGGTCTCAATGAAATCGAAGCCTGAGCAATATTCAAAACGGTTTTTTTTTCTAGTGAAACAGATTAGTTTACATTTAAATTTGTTTAATGGCATCAGCCAGTGTTCGCACGATTTGTTAATTTTTACTAAATCATCTTGAAGATGAATGTTGTCATGCACACTTGTTACTTTGTTATATACGACACAGTCATCTGCAAACAGGCGAATATTAGGCGAGATGGTGGCCGGAAAGTCGTTTATGAATATTAAAGAAAGTAGGGGTCCCAGTACGGGACCCCTGAGGAACACCAGATGAAACCTTTGTTAAGGCAGGCTCATGATAATTTGTAACCGTGTATTGCACGCCGGAAAAAAGAAAGTCACGTATTCATGACAAGATTAGCGGGTCAAGACGAAGGGGTGCGAGTTTAAACAGTAGTCGTTGGTGGGGAGCATGATCAAAGGCTTTCGAAAAATCCAGGAAGATGGCGTCAGTCTGAGCCCGACACTCGAGATTAGTATGTAGGTCATAGATGAAGTCGCAAAGCTGCGTTTCACAGGAGAGTCCCTTTCTAAATCCATGCTGCTTTTTGAAGAAAAAAATAATCTTTAGTTGTTAGGTGACTGATGATGTGTGAATATAGTATATGCTCAAGAAGTTTAGATGCGATTGAAGTTAAAGATATTGGACGATAGTTAGAGACCAAACCGCGACTTCCCAGCTTGAAGACTGGGACAATCCTGCCAATCTTCCAGTCAGTAGAAAGGAAACTTTCTGATGGTGACTGGTCAAAGATTAATTTTAAGAACTCACTCGAGACAGTGGTAGTATTTTTTTAGAATTTTTGAATTGATGTTGTTGGAACCGGCGGACGATGAGAGTTTTAATTTGGCAATGAGATTTTGAATACCGGTTGCGCTTACACTAATAAGATGCATGGTTCGTAAGGTTGTTCGGGGAGAGTGGGAACAGTGTTCAAACAATTGTTAGTGAAAATGGAAGAAAAATATTCGTTAAATACTGTAGGAATGTCACTCTCTGGAATGGAATCACCGTTGTCGGTACGCAGTTCGAAGGCAGAGTTTTTTTTTTTTTATGAAACCAGATTCCAGAACTTTTTCGGGTTACTCTTCACAATAAACGGTAAGTTATTAAAAAATAATTTGTTCTTGGCTTGTTTTATGTTCCTGGTGTAGTTTTTTAGTGCAGAATTGTAAACATCCCAAGATTGGCTAGTGTTTAACCGTTTGGCCTTTGCAAAAAATCTTTTTTTCTTGTTTTGTAGAAGACAGACGCTTGCTGGCTACTGTTGTGACCACAACGCCTCGCGAGAGAATAGCGTTTGGCTGGGGACAGAGCAGCAAGGCGGGCTCGTAGACCTGCTACGACCAAGGGCTAAGTGAAGGACCGAGGTTCGTCTCAATTGAATCAGCAGATCCAGGGACTACATCGACGTTGTCTGCAGCAGAGCCCCGCAAAAACAACCCAGTTTTTTTTTTTTTTTTTTGTCAATTATGTTTTTTTTTTTCTCTTGCCCGCGCCTTGTGGTGCGAACCAACCCGTCGCGGAGATGGCCACAGTTTGTGTTACACATTCCCCCCTCCCTCCTTTCTCTCCCCCCCCCCCTCTAAAAAAAAAAAAAGAAGAAAAAATTAATTACGCTTTGCTTACGTTACTGTGGCAGAGCGGCCAGCAACAAGCTTTGCACGCGTATTCCAAACACGTGCGCTAAGGCTGGAATAAAGGAAAGCAATCGTGAACGCTTCACGAGTCCGTCCCTTCAGGAACGCACAAAGGAGACGAAGAAAGACCCGAAATCGGTCGAGGTGGTCGCACGCTCGCGCACGAGGCTCGAAAGGAGGGACAAGGCGAAAAGGGATATCGGCTGAGACGTGCCGCCGACGTTGGGGCACGCGAGCGGCAAGGGCAGCAAAGCAGTCGGCAGCACGACGCTCCGAGGGCGAGCGGAGAGACCGGCCTGGCCCCGTGATCTTGTTTTAGGCGAACGCGGCGGCCGATCTCGGTCGCGCGCCTTTGCAGGAAGCGAACAGGGGCGGCCATTTTCAGCCCGCGCTCGTTCCAGCTCACGGACCAGTGCAAGGAAGCCGGGGACTCGGTGTGGTGGTACCTGTTCGCGGCGCTCAGCCTGGCTGTTTCGGTGGCCCTGTTCCTGCTCATCTGGCGCTGGAGAACCCTGCACTACGCCCAAGGACCGTGAGTGCCTCGAGTTGGTCCAGTTGCTCGCCACGCGAACAACCACCGGGGTCGGCTGGCGCGACAAACGCCATGCGTCTGCAGCGCTAGTTTGGCGCCTGTCTCGACCGCTGCGCATCGTTTCGTATTTCAGGTCCACTGCCAGCGCCACCGCATTAGCGTGACGTCGCAACCATGACCCGTTGTGCAGCGTCAACGACAAAACGTTCGACATTTCGTCACGCTAAACGTTAAACGTTAGATGCAGTCCCACCTCCTCGCGCTGGGAGTGGTCTCACTTTATTCTGTTCGACATCGGCGGCGTAAGCTTTACTATCGTGACGCCAAGGCATAGTGACAGACAACCGATCTCTCCTGTGTATTCCTAACCCAGTGTAAGACAAAGACAAAAAGCACGAAGAGGAAATTTCTAAACAAATTGACTAGTTGAATTGTCAACAGCTTAGTGGGCGGTCTTCCTTTGTGTAACCCACGGTTGGCCACAGGCGCATGAGACGGCTCCACATACCCGAAGTATTCGGGGGTCGGGATACAAAAGGATGGAGAGGACTGCCCAGTTTATTATCGAATATCACTGTAGAAAATCTAGATGTATTTGAAGCTGAGATTTGTCGTACTGATTGGAGCACGGTGTTTTCCAGTGTTTCAGCTGACGAGGCATATGATAACTTTATTGGGATTTTTACAAAGATATATGAAAAGAGTTTCCCCGTACAAAAAACAACTTGCCCACAGGAAGGCTCGGAAGCCTTGGGTGACAAAGGAGATAATCAAAATTATGAGTAAAAAAGACGCTCTCTACAACAAATTCATAAAATCCAGAAAACCGGGTATGCTGGCGTTATTTAAAAAGCAGCGAAATGCTGTGACAAGTGCTTTACGTAGGGCTAAGCGTACGTATTTTTATGCTGCGTTTGAAAATGAGCGACGAATAGATAATATATGGAAGAAACTTAACTCATTTCTGCGGCGTGGCCCTTTCGAATCTACAGCCATGGAGCTTAACATCGAGGGGGAGACGAGAGGTGGTTTGGCGTTGGCTGAACTATTTAATGACTATTTCGTAAACATTGTAAAGAATGGCAACGATGTCGATGGATTTTCATTTGTGAAAGGCGCCCCTGACGCACTTTTTCTTGCCCCCACCGACGCGGAGGAAGTGGCATCAGTTTTTATGAACCTTGGAAATAGCAAAAGTACTGACATAGACGGTGTTCAAATCAAACCTCTGAAACATGTAATTAAATCAATTGCTCCTCCTTTAAAGGATATTTTTAATTTGGCACTTCAAAATGGCCATTTTCCTAAAACAAAAATGCAAGTTGCAAAGGTTACAGTTATTTCCAAGTCTGGGGATAAAAACAACCTGGGAAATTATAGACCTGTTTCTGTGCTCCCAGTGTTTTCAAAGGGGATAGAGAAAACAACACATGCCAGACTATACACCTGCGAAAAACACTGTAACCTAACATCTTGCCAGTTTGGTTTTAGGAAGGAGCATTCGACGGAACTCGCGCTATTAAAACAGAAGGAACTAATTTTAAACAACATCGAAAGAAAATTGATTACCTTGGGGGTCTTCATTGATTTTTCAAAGGCTTTCGACCGTCTAAATCATAAAACTCTGCTTAAAAAATTAAATGCATACGGGGTGCGGGGAATAGCCTCAACGATGATCGAGTTTTTTTTTTTTTTTTTAATATCGACATTAGTGTGTCGTGATCAATTGTCAGCGGTCTAGCTTAAAGAAACTGACGTCAGGGGTGCCACAAGGGAGCGTCCTTGGACCCCTTCTGTTTAACTTATACATCAATGATATAGTGAATATAGACGACAGTGCAGATTTTATAATTTACGCAGACGACACCAGTTTATTCTTTTCGGCGAAAGTTGTCCACCAGATTTTATGTGCGGCAAATAGCGTTTTGCAGAAGATAAGTGACTGGACAATCTCAAACTCTTTAGCAATTAATACAGATAAGACGAAAGCCATACTTTTTTGATCCAAAAATACAGTGTTTTCATCTACTCAAGGGCTCTCTTTGCAAGGACAAAATATTGACTTTGTACAAAATGTGAAGGTCCTTGGTGTGATATTTAATGAGTACATGAGCTGGGACGCCGAAGTACAATGCATAGCTGGCAGACTTTCAAACGTCATGGGCATTATTTATAAATCCCGTCATATATTACCCCTTTCGGTATTAATTCTTCTCTATAACTCCCTCATTTGCTCTTGCTATAATTACTGCTTCCTTGTTTGGGGTAGCACAACGGCTACAAATATGCATCACTTACATGTTCTCCAGAAGAGAATAATTCGAATTATGTGCAATGCGGAGTTCAACGCTCACACATTACAACTTTTCAGAAACCTTCATATAATTCTAATTATAGAGCATTATAATTATAAGATTCCCCTAACATATGAAACGTCTGTAAGGCAAAATCAACTTGTTTTTCTATCAATCGCCAATATGAAGCGAAGAGTGCCTGCATATGCAGACCGTTGTGTTGACACATGGTCACGTTGTGTTGACACATGGTCAACGCCTCGCTCGAGAACAGGCTACAGCCTCCAGATGTTGCAGCACTCGTTGCCTAATATTATAAATAGTACAAAAAAATTTGGCACGGATTTGATGAGTTTGAGCAGAAAGGATATTCGTTCATTGTTTCTCTGGTGTTATTTGTGCCTATTCTTGATGGGACCCCCGACCTGCAAAGAATGTTTGTAATGCACGTCAGATTTTTTTTTTTAATGTTGTGTGTTTTGAAGCTATGTAAACCTTGTTCTACGGGTCACTAGTATGTAAAATAGTTTCTCTCGTTGCTGGTGGAGAGGAGAAACTCTGTCAAGCGACAATAGTCTGCTTTTTTTTTCTTCCTCCCCCTCTCTCCTGGAGAGAAAACAATAGAGTTGAAAGTTGAAAAGAAATATTTTCTCACTCCCGCTCGGGCCGCGGGAGCGGAAGTCAGGCCGACCTACGCCATTCCCTTAAGGTCGGGAACCCACGGCCCGCTTGCCGGATGTGGCCCGCGAGGCAATATTAGGCGGCACCCGGCACGCGCTACAGAAAAGATCTCTCTCCCTTCCCCCCAACCAGGACACACACACACACGCACACACATTCACACTCCAGCACCAATGGCGCAAAAAGTGTAATCGGCTCCAAATGTAGTGCAATTTGGAACCTGTTAACTTTCAAGTGGCACGTCTCGGGGTTTGTTCATTAGTAACGTTGATCGCATTATCTATCGGCAATTCTTCTATATCCAAGTGATGTATTGGGAATCAATAAATAAGGTACGTCGTATCTACCTTAAATTTTGTCTGGAATGACGACTTGCACCATTGTACATTTCAACAGTTTTGTCGCGCACAAGGGCTTACTATGAGGATGTCCAGTACTACAGAAAAACGGCATTGGTGTTGCTGTTTTTGTTTTTTTTTGTTTTTTAGCTTTGTAAAGAAACCATTGAAGAGACTTCCTGGTCCGATTGGCTGTGCGGGTTGGCATTGTTGGCTGATATCTCACATCACTGTAATAACCGAAATTTAAGACTACAAAGGAATGAGAAGCTCTTATACACGCGAAAGTTTTCGAGCTGGAGCTCGAGGTCTCCCAACACCAAAAATCTCTATTAACCAAGAATCTATATAATTTTATTTTGCGGAGAATTTCGTAGAAGCAACGAACACACTCTTTTATAAAGAAAGTATATATAATAGTACTCTAACTTAACAGGGTCAGAGTCGGAATTCCTGTTTTTACGAAATACTCGAATGACATCCACATTTTCTGAAATTTGCTCAAGACAGGCCTCGATCAAGTTCAGAAGGACTACGAGATAAAATTTACTGATCAGGTGGTGACCAAACAGATAATAATTTGTAAGATATATATCCAGCCAACGACTTCGTTAAGTTTTACTTTGGCATTCCCGAATCAAAGCTTTCGAATCTCAAAAGCTCGTGCAGCTTCGATTGCAGGGTCCTCATATAATATGCGGGGGACACACCTTTTTCTTTAAGATGGAGACCGCAAAGACAAACATGTGTTTCCGAATGACGAATAAATGACCTAGCACGTTTAAAAACGTTTTACGGCTCTCAGTTAGTATTTTAATATGAATGTTTGCATCTTGTCAAACAAAGTTGAATAGAAAAATTCATACTAAGGGGGTCTCAAGCAATCTTAGGTTTCGTGTGCTTAAATCGAGAAAATATTTTCGCAAACTAGGTCCAAAAACAGGTACTGAGTAAGGTAAAATATGGTAAGGGTGCAGGCGAGCTGGTGAATATTAACCATGTTGAATTAACCTGAGACTGGGGTAGAAAAGAAACATCAAAACGTAGAAGAAACAGAGTGAGGATCGGCGACAATACAAGGCGCACGCGCAACTGAAACGTTATTAGATAAACATTAACTTACATACCATTTTACAAAAAAAAAAAATTCAGCCTGGCCATATTTATCCTAAAAATAAAGTTCCTTACCAGTCAAAGCATAAAGATGGCTCACTGAACTAAACAGCACACCCTTGTTTTGATGACTTAAGCTTCAGGAATTTCCTTTTTTCGCTGTGTCGCCCCAGAATAGCGGTGTCAGAAAAAAGTGCTGTGCTCACACACCGGTCGCAATGCACCGCTAAGTGCCCTGAGGGTGAAATTTTTGCACGTCACCTTAAACTTGGTCCCTCTCCGGTCTTCGATCCGACCGGCTTCGTCTCCAGTTTGTGGCTACTGGGCCCGCTGCATCCAAAGGTGGCCGACCCTCGCCTTAAAGTATTCATAAATTCATAAATAAACGCCCAACCCAAGCGGGCACCAGACTACACGGGTGACCCCAACCCTGAAATGGACGAGCCATTCTCACTGGCTGAAATCGAGGCGGCGGTATACACTCTCACCCGCAACACCACCCCGGGTCGAGACAAAATACCCAACAAGCTACTCCGAAACCTCGATCACGTAGCACTGGAAAATCTGCTAGACT